GGCGTTGTGGCGGGCGCCTGTGGTCCCAGCTACTTGGGAGGCGGAGGCAGGAGACCCGCTTGAGCCCAGGAGTTGGAGGTTGCTGTGAACTGTAATGCCAGGGCACTCTGCCCAGGGGGACAGCTTGAGGCTCTGTCTCAAAAAAAAAAAAGAAAGTGGAACTTGACAGAGTTTTAATAGTACTATTTTTTGACAGTTGCAGATGAGATTTAAATGATATTTAAATTAAGAATGTTGTGAATTTTTTTCTTTTTTTTACATTGAGAAGATAATTTTGGTTTTTTTTAATGTGTTTCTGTTTATTTTTTTTTCCTTTTTTATTGTTTGAGATTCATTGAGAGTACAAAGAATTAGGTTGCACTGATTGCATTTAGATAAAGCCCCTCTTACAATTGTGTCCCACCCCCAAGAAGTGTGCCTTACACCATGACACCCCGCCATTCTCTTCCCTCCTCCCTTTTTTCTACTTGCTCATTTACCTACGCACCCCCCCCTTGTATTAGCTCATCTGCTGCTTTTATATTAGAGTACATTGGATTCTTGCTTCTCTATTCTTGTGATGCTTTACTAAGGAGAATGTGTTCCACCTCCATCCAGGTTAATACAAAAGATGTAAAGTCTCCATCTTTTTAAGTGGCTGAATACAATTACATGGTATACATATACCACAGCTTGTTAATCCATTCCTGGGTTGGTAGACATTTTCCACATTTTGTTCATTGTAAATTGAGCCAAGATAAATAGTCTAGTGCAAATTTCTTTATGATGAAAGGATTTTTTTTCTTCTGGGTAGATGCCTAGTAATGGGATTATAGGATCAAACTGGAGGTCTAATTTGAGTTCTTTGAGGATTCTTCCACAAGAGGTTGTATTAAAGTCCCACAAACAGTGTAAAAGTGTTCCCTTCTCTCCACATCCACACCAGCATCTGCAGCTTTGAGACTTTGTGATGTGGGCCATTCTCACTGGAGTTAGGTGATATCTCAGGGTGGTTTTGATTTGCATTTCTCTGGTGATTCAGGATGATGAGCTTTTTTTCATGTTTGTTAGCCATATGTCTGTCTTCTTTAGAGAAGGTTCTATTCATGTCTCTTGTCCAGTGAT